TACACTTGATGGTGGCTCTGTGTGGGACACTCTTCCAGCTGTCCCTTTTCAGCCTTTGCCTTGTCTCTAAATGAGTTCTACTCAATGTCAGCACCCAAAATTAATGGCATCAGGCACCATTTCCTGTCCCATCAAACTTTCTCTTCCTCAGTACCACTCAATACCAGACCTGTAGCCCCAGCCATTAACTACTTCTGAGCTTCTTTTGAGCTTCAAAAATTGTTATCTTTGGGGAAATGACTCAGGTCTTGGTATTGTTTCAAACCAATGACCATAGATTCTGCTATATCTGTTGTGATGTTTGTGGATGTCTCTGCTTATTCACCTCAATTATGAACACTGAAGAACAATTATGTTTTGTCTTCCTTCTTGTAATACCTAGCACACTCCTACTATAGTGGAGACCCAAATTTAAGTGGAATTAATAATGAGTACATTGTACCCACCTGGAGCTGCCATCCTCCAGCACCCGGAAGGTAGCCTGGGCCCCAATCCACCGCAGGAAGGAGAGCCACACCCTCTCCCGCCTGGAGCCGCCATCACTCCAGCATCAGGAAGGTAGCCACATGGGCGCCCCTAAACCCCCATAACTCCCCTTATCCCCCCCACCGCACTCTCAGACGTCCTGATTATGCCAGTCTTTGGACCCACTCTGCAGAGGGAGAGGTGGTCATAAAGGGTATTTTTCTGAGTTCCCAACTTAGAACATCTTTAAAGAAAGGGTGTGGGAAACCTGTAGTAGAACAGTGTGGAGTTCAACCATTCAGAAGGTAGGAGAACTCCATCTGGGCCTTGCAACCAGAGGTCAGTCTGAGTCATGGGGTTCAGCCATCAGCTAACTGAGATCAGGGGTCTTGCATCCTCACTCTGTCTGAGCCATTAAATGGTAAATATACTATATTGAAAACTTTGTTCACTGCAGACATGTTCTGGACTTCTTCTTGATTTCAATTTAATTCAAATGGTTTAAGGGTGATAGACTAGTGACTACCATAGGTAGTCAGTTTCCAAGTTGTGCTTGATCGTAATGTGTTGCTGATTGTATCAGTTGGGGTAAAGCATTGCCATTGATTTGATGAGCTGTTTTCTCTGTTGTTATGAAGATCAGAATGTCTGTGGGTCGTTAGAGACCCAGAAGCTAGGGTGCAACTATATCAGGAAGATTTGGGTGATAACCCAGAGATTAAACCAAGCACAGCCCAACACAAC